CCCCCCCGGCTGGGGACTTAGATGGGAAAGATGGTTTTCCAAATGGGTACTAAGACTTTAGGGCACGGCATACGTCACGGTAGCCCACACTGGCAGCTGGGGACCTCGAAATCGTGGTAACCGAGGTTGAGAGACACTGAGTGATATAGCTGAGTGTCGTAAACAGGAACGTTCGTGCATCTTCTCAATTTCTTTACAACTTCAGTCTACGGAAATTTTCTCGTCGACTCTACCTTAAACCTTACTGGCATTCTCCTACCGTTACATCCGAATGGGTAACCAAAACTGGCGCATGAAAGTGCATGACGGTTGTACAAACTTAGAACAAACAAAACGTTGTTACGTCAGGAAGCGATGGAAATCGAAAAATCGGTCCTCCACCGTGTACACAAGTGGCGCGAACCATTAAAAAAACAAACTGCTTACTTTGATTAGATTTTCACCGAACAAAATTTCCACTGTCTCTTTTAGGAGAGGCAACAGACCACCGTGATGTATGCCCACACCTCGCCGGAGCAGAGGCAATACACTTTCCACTTGAGGTAAGGCACGATCTTCGGGAGACAAGCCATCAATCGCGTTGCGAAACACCTCATCCACAACTTTCTTCTCTGCCTCTATGGAGGTGTGAGGGGTGGTGGAAACATGAAAATCAGCGAATAGTTTATTCTATACAATATCAAAAGGTTGTGTTTGTGCTGAGAACATTTAATATAATCTGAATGCAGTTCAAAAATAAGCGACCAACTGTGTCGGTCAATCCGAGGGAGCCCATCAATTTGTGCCACGTTTCGTATATTAGGTCAAATAACTATTTACACAGTGGGCACGGAAACCTAGATAGTTGTTGCGTACTCAAGTCCTGGTTAAAGTTCAGGATAAATGTTATCCATCCACTAGCGAGCATGTCACAATTTGACCGAGTACAAATGTCCGAGTACGGCTTCTTAACGGGTAACAAGGTTGGGCAGCTACCAATCCATGTTTCGAGCAGAACTGTCGAACTTGATCTGTAATTCATGGGGAAAGGAGATCAAGACTACAAAAATTTCCCTTACAGGGGACGAATAAAATACCCGATTCGATCAAAAATGGGCATGGACGTTGGGTTACAACCAAATCCATGGTGAATAACTAATTTCGTGAGTTAGATTGTTGTGCCTAGAAGATATAGTGCAAATTAAGACATCAGTAATGATGGAAAACCAAAAGCGGATATTGAACTAAGGTTAGAATCCCCTAGGAGGGGGTACGGCAGCGTTCTATTTCGCAAACAAATTGCCCAGTTCAGCGAACAGGCGAAACGGACTTCGTCTTTTATTAGGGTTATCAGATAAATTCTATGTAGATTAGCTCAGATAAGTCTTTTAGAAGACAAGAATCATCATCAGTTTCGCATAAAGCTGTGCGACATTCTGCACCTCCGAGCTGAGTGAATCAACGACCGGGTAAGAGGGGTGGTGCGGAGCGAGCGGAGGAGAGAGAAGTAACTAGATGGATAGGTACAACATACCAGTGGTAAAGTCGAATTTTGCTATTTGCAGGGCGTAGATTTCGCATTCTTTCTTACTGAAACTGAACACAATAATCGGTTCGAGGCTACGATGTTTCAGTAGGCGCACAATCTGGACCACATTGTTCTCCGAGCCTGAAAACAGACGAGGATGAGAAGGAATGGGAGATTACTGTGACCGGGAATGTGGAAGGGAGGGGACGAGTGGAGGCACAGTTTGAAAATGTCACTCACGTTTGTTTGTCTGCATCCGCCGCTTCTCTGTCTCGTCGGACGTGTACGAGCGCATTGCACGCGTGAAATTATCCTCTAAATATTTGCCCTGGTTAAAAATATGAGGGGGGGGGGTGGCGGGGAATAGGTATTTGAGAAAATCCTACCTTCACCTGACAAGTACAACTGCGAAATAAACAAAGAACACTGTGTGTACAGGGGCTGCGTTATCCACCTCCCCGTCTCCTCTCCAACATTACGAAAAGTAGGATTCGATTAATCCTGGTTATTGTAGTTGTTTCAGGTGACAGCGTTATACGGGATTGGCCAGGACAATGAACCAAGGAGGAGGAGGATGAAGACTCAAAGGCCATTACTGGAGAGCTACGAGCTTCAGTTTCAGTATGAACAACCATTAACCATGCACTTTCGTGCGCCGGTTTTGGTTGCTGTCCATCGCCAGCCGACTTTGATGGTAGACGGCTTCGCCATTGCATCTATGGTTCAGTTGTACATATGGCAACTTTGTATGGTTTGTCACTGCAACCACCAGAGATCATGGTGCCGGTCATCTAAAACTGACTTTTTCTTCGAGTACCTTTAATTTTGTTTTACAAGAAATTTTTGTGTGCACTTTTTGGACTATTTTTTCACCTTGTTTTCCAGCAGCTAATTTGTCAATTATGCAAATTTTATCCCGTTAGCATCAATCTGCAATGTCCCAGTTTTGTCGCACACATTCGTGTATGTGTGTGTGGGGGGGGATGAACCCGATAGTTGGGTAGACCTGGGTGCACCGACAATCTAAGCCCCGGGACTTGGAGTAGCGAACCACGTCGGGCCGCTCCAGGATAGACTCGGTATTGAACAGAACGACAGTAAAGCTGCCTACCACCAAAGTTGGGTGGCATTGGCGGAATTTGAACCTCGAATAATGGGGTCAAAATCGCACCGGTGAGAGCCATTAAGCCACCACCTTTACACCTAGTAGCTGAAAGGGTGTACAGACAGACGAGTTGAACCTGCACATTGGACTTATGATGTCACGTACTTAGATACTTACTTTACTTTACTACGGCTGGCTCTTTGGAAAGGATAAGCCGGCTCTATCATCTTGATCATGAAGTTACTTGGGATTTTGGTACGAGAGACGTCCCCAGCGTCACTCGGCGTTTTTAATTTGAGGGCGCACCTGATGTCCACCACCTGTACCCCCAGTTTCGCAGCTGTCAATATCATCATCATCATTAAACAACGAAATACAGTGCAATGAACTTCAGTGATCGCTACAAAACTTGCTATGAATTCAAAGTAAGTGAGAATGTGAAAGGTGGACAGAGAGGGATTAGGCCTATTTGGAGGGAAGGGGGAAAAGTTAAACTTCATGGGCAACACACAGAGTACACAATCTAATTGTGCATGCAAACCCTTCCAAGTATTCTGACCTGATTGGAAGTGACAACAGAAATGCCACTGATGTCGGATTGCTGTCATGTCCTTCAGTGTTGACAACCAACCATTTACGGATTCTTTTGTATACCAGACAGGAAGACGAAAGACACCTAGACTACCCAATCGCTCTGTGCATTTCTTCNNNATTTCCACCAGCCCAGAGCGGTAACAGCGAGTACGGCGTGGTGCAGCAGACGATTGTTAGGTATGAGCAATACATGTCGTTACCACTGAAGCCTGAATTCGATGTGCTAACGAATTTCTCACCGACAAATTCCCAAACACATCACGACTTACCTATCAGTTAATAACCTGTTCACGTCCTCATATTGCAGATGTGCTATAAATGCTAGTGGGCACGTCTTACGGCTTCCGGGGGGATTCGCCCCGTTGCATTCGGACCTACCTCGCATCCCAGTGCTCTCTCGCCGGTTTAATTCGTGTTCTACTTACCACAGTCAAAGTAGTCCCTGCTACCTATCGTTGATTTGCCAGTAAACAACTACAGTCAAATTTCCCGCCTACAAATCGATACAGTATCTGATATCTCAATCATATTATTTCAGATGTAGAAATCTTTGGGTCGTCCTACCATCCACCCAAGGAAACAGTCCGCCTCTTATAATTCCAAAAGGCGGTGCTCGGTCGAGGACAGTCGTTTATTGTGGATTACGGATGGGACATCACCAATTTGGCATACATAACACAGAAATTTCATCAGAAACATACCACCTTAGTTCCTGGCCGAACAACGGGTAATGAATGTAGCAATCGATAGTTATTCTTTGAGATACAGCAATTCGCCCTCGGTGATCTTGTTGATTTTCGATTGTTGAAGCAAATCATCAACTTTATTACCTACCAATCACAAATATGAGTAGTACCTCACTACACGCCATCCAGTCCAACAACCCGTTGTGAACGCGGTAACTCTTTCAAGCTACTTCGGTTGAGAACAATGCAATAAAAATGCCCAGGATAACGGCAATCGAAAGAAAAATCGGTTTCACGGTAGCTCCATGGAATCAAAGTGCACATGAACGTTAAACTTGATATAAACCTATCGTGTCTATCAATTAACACTTTGTCCCAATACAAAAGATCCTCGGGAATAACAGCAGCAGCGGTAGCGGTGCACGGCCAAACAAACATACCTCATCCAACACAAGGAATAGGCCCTCACTGCCCACGGGATACAGATAATGACGAAGTGGCACGGGACGACAATCGGAAGCGACCACATGGCACGGTTGGTGATGTAAATGAGCAATCCATTCCGCAAATTGTCTCGCGTTGGGTATGGTCGCACTGAGAAACACATAGCGCACACTATCTGGTAAAAGAACCAGTGTTTCCTCCCACACTACACCACGTTCCGGATCGCGCATATAGTGAATTTCATCAAACACGACCCAGCCAACTTCACGCATCATAGAAGCGCCCCTGGGATGAAGAGAGAGAGAAGAAAATGGAACGGATCAAAATTGGACTGAATGCGGATACTGCAAAATGGACGCAAGCACAACTGCTTGATACTTGGCCGACACTAAACGAAACGGTCTGATCAGCTGCGTGTAACAGTGATGCGTGCTCCATCAGAGAGGCCTTGGGTCTCGGTTCTCGGTCGGAATACCTGGTCGTCTCATGTTACGCTGATTTTGTGTAAAACAAAATTCTCTGTGCAATTACTTAATCACGAAAATCGATAGTCAAACTACAAAGACGTGCAATCTTATTGCGGCTGTTGCACGATAAAAAACACCTGACGTAGTGTGCATTCCATTACACAACGCATGTTTGCCAATTGGTAACGTACCTATGAGAAACCGTAAACCTTCTAATGAACAGTTTGTCGAGGCAAACTTGCTCAAGAGAAAACCATTCCCTAAATGGGGCATGTCCGAATGCCGGTTTCCCGAGGGTTATGAAGTCATTTCTATGATTACACCTGAAAGGCGAATACATCTTTATTGTCACACAAGTTTTCTAGTTTCAGTTTCAGTTTTGAATAACAATTCCTCATGTATTCCCATGGGCCGGTTTTGTCTGTTATCTTTTGGTTACCCATTTAGTTGAAGAATAGGAGAGAACAGGAAAACTGAAAATAGAGTCGAAAAGAAAATTGAGAATTTCAGTGGTCTAAGGTTGCAAAGAAACTGAGATGAACGAACGCCACTGATTGCGATACCCAGCCATATTACTCAGTATATTTAACCATTGATTACAGTGATCTCGGGGGCCCCAGCCAGGGAGCAAAACGGGGTCTATGTGACCCAGTTTCCTGGTTAGGGCTTTCATACTCCTATGCCAGGTCTTAGCTTGACCACACTACCCACTACTTGCTTCGGTAAACATCCCTCGCCGTGGCAGCCTAGTTGGTGACATGCGTAACACATATAATCTACGGAGGTCGACCACTTGCTCCAGTGGACGACCACAGTTACCCAAAACTCTGCGCCCAACCTCAGCATTATTCATCCGGTTGCCCCACCAGATTCGTGCAATGCTGCGTAGAAAGCGGTGTTCAAACACTGACAGTCTATCTTCGTCCTGTTTTCTTGATGGCCGAGTTTCTTCGCCGTATAGCAGAACTAGCCGAACTGCCGCGGCGTAGATTCGACCCTACACAAACAGCCGGATATCGCGACGGCGCCACAAATGTCTCAAGTTGGCAAATGCCAACCTAACCTTTTGTATGCGAGCTTAAACTTCATCCGTGATGCATCCACCGGGTGAGATATAGCTGCCCAGATAGCAAAACTTATCCACTTGCTCTATTACTTCCCCAGTTAGAGCAAGGTTGAGTGCTGGACTAACCCAATCTTGTAGCAGCATTTTACATTTTGAAGGTGCAAAACGCATACCGAACATGACTACACTAACACTCGAACTTTCCAGAAAAGCTTGTAACTTACCTGGATCTTCACTTAGAAGCACAATGTCGTCGGCATATTCTAGATCAGGCAATCTGGCACCTGGGAGTAAATCGACGCTACTATCCTCGTACGGGGATAGGGCTGTTTCCATAATCAAATCTCGAACGAAGGTAAATAAAAAAGGGGAGAGAGGGTAACCCT